GTAACCACCTAAAGAAGCTTCCTAGAAGCTGAAAATAGGTTTTACTTGGCCAACAAGTCAATAATCTAGGGACTTTTAAGCAAAAAAAGAAAATTCAAAAAGGTCTAAAATGCAAAACTGAACATTTTAAAGCTGCCCTAGTAGCTTGCCTATAAAGATTGCTAAAGAGAGCTGAAAAGGAGGAGGGGGAGAAAAAAAAAGAAAAAGAAGAAAAAAATCGGGTAAAAAATCTAAAAGGGGTTATGAAAAGTTGAGCTGAAAGTACTGGAGAATTCTTGCATTTTTGGGTAAAATTAGACTGGTTTTTGCAACTGATCCTGATTCTAAAATCTTCATAACTTTTCTCTTTTTCTGGGATTCAAAGACTGATTCGAAAGCTGCTGGTCATTATTCCATTACTGGTTTTGAATTGATTTTGTTGTTGTCTCTTCTTTGCTGAACTGCTCCTGCTATTGGGTCATAACTTCAGGCTTTGGTGTTGTTTGTTTGCTGTGAACAAGTATTCTCCAAAACTCCATGGACATCACCTAGGTGTATTTGAAGTCTGGCTTTGGAATTTGAATAAGAATGATGAAATCCATGTTGGATCTCATTCATTTTGTCCAACCTCATTTATGTTTGTAGTATTCAACCTTAAAAATGTTTCAGTTAATATAATGACCTAAATTTGCTATTATGGCGTGTATAAATGGGACTGTGCTGTGAATTGTGAAGTTTCATGATAATTGTAATTGAATTTTGCCTAGTATTTGTTGATTCAACTTGTTTTGGATGCATCTGTTAGAAGTTATATTAGTCGGGCTGTGGTAGGATCAACAGGGGAGAGCCTTAGGATTCTCTTAGCAAATGTGAATGTTCAATGAAGCTAGATTCAAAGCTTGCATACGTGTCTTTCTCTGTCATTTTTCTATACTCATTTGTTAAAATAAGTCCTTGTGATTGAGGATCTGAGGTAATTTGTTAAGATGTGAGTGAATCTACATATCGACTTCCGGGGTTTTGATAATGTTGGATCATGCTCATCTCAATTTGAATTTATTAATTAGCTGGTAGTGTAAATGGCATGTGTTAATTTTTACGATTAGTCGTGCATGAGCAATTTAAGTTAGCAGTGGTGTTAGAATTCCAGAAAGGTTAATTAATTAATTTGAATTTAAATAACTTGCAATCCATAAGTAGACAATTAATACCNCATCTCATATTTCATGTAGTATCTTGATTGACTTACAATTAATCTGTTGCACACAAAGGCGAGGTCTGAACCTGGACCTGGTGATGACCCAATTAATGAAATCAGGGC